ATGTTGATTTATTGAGGTTTAGATGATTATTTGGGATGAGAAATGAATTATTATGGCTATAGGATTATGATTCTAAGCTAGAGACTCAATTTTTAATTTTTGAGTATTTTAGGTACGAATTTATAAAATAAAAAGAAAATTTTGATAATAGAAATTAGTTTAGAAGTTGATTTTTAGATTATTAATGTTTATTGATAATTAAAAGAGGAGTTAAAAATTTACTTAATAGTATTAACTATAGATTTGTATTAAGATTGAGATTAGGAATTATGTTATATTTTTAATTCTATTATTAGAATTATTTTATTAGTTTCAAAAATTGAAACTAATATTTATAAATAATATGTTATTTGTAGATTGTATTACTGGTGAAGATTGTGGTGAGAGAGAAATTTTAAGGAATAATTTATTGAAAAAGCCACAAGGTAACCATGCTTTTAATTTGTGATTAGTGTTACTTCTTGTTAATTGGGTGATTATTGAGAAAATTATGAATTTTGTAATATTGTATAATTGTGCAATATTATTATGAATTTGTTTAATTATTGTGGGAGGTGTTGGGAGACTTGCTATTATTGTTGTATTTATGTGCCACGTGGTACGCCCCTATTGGAGCTCAATAGGTGGCTTGTAAGGGCTCGGGCTAATCTACCTTTGGCCGGGTAATTTAGCACCGAGTGAGGGCTACGGCTCGAGGTTAATGGAGGGATATAAGGATGGTTGTTTGTGTGTATTGTAATATTTCTTATATTTGTTGGAATTATATTATTTTTAATTCTCACTTAGTAAGCACACACTTAACTGTTTGTATACACTATCATAAATTGGCTTTGGTTACTGGGACTTTTGAGTCTCATTATGTGGTTAACAATTTTCAGGAGAAGAGCCACGAGTGACACGTGGAGGAGTCCCAGAGGCTTAGTGGTATAGATCCACTGTCTCTTTTGGGTATTTAATTTATGATTTATAATGTGTTATATTGCCAATATTAGGGCTTTTTTTTATTGTCAATTATATGAATATATAAATGTAATCATGCCTTTCAAACTATTTCTATTTTTGGTACAATTTGGATGACTGTAATTTTAATATTTGGTTTACTTTGGATTGGTTAAAATGGCATGATTATAAGGCCAAATAACTGGCTTGTGTTGAAAATTGACTAAATTGCTTATTTTACTTGTTGGGAGTATAAGGATGGACAAATGTGATTTAGTTTACTTGTTGGGAGTATAAGGATGGACAAATGTGATTTAGCCTAATGGTATGTGGGAGGTAAAAATTTATCTGAAATGTTATAGTGTGTGAGTTGAAGCCAATTATAAAATATTTTATATCGAAATTATTGATATAAAAATGTGTTGGGTGGCTGTAACCCAACTATGGTTGAGTTAAATTATTTTAAAAAAAAAATTTTGGTGTGTGTACAGGATTTCCTTGGAGCAAAATCCTTTTTACCAAGCATTAACTGCTTAACTACTAGTGCCAACTCATTAACAAGCCTATCTTCTTTATCACTACTACTACAAAAAAAAAAAAAAACAGATTTTGCACCTTCTTTCTAAACCAATTAAAAAAAGAACAATTGTAAAAAGTGTGCGAAGGTATTTTCATAAATAAATTGACTTGTTATAATATTTTTTACATTGATTTCACTCATACTTAATATAAAAAGTACTTTTTAATAATGTAATTAATATAGAAAGTTTCAATTTTTAAAAAAAATATGAAAAATAAAATTTGTTTCTACATTAGGTAAGTACCTACCTAGTGTAAATGTGCCTGGATAATTTTTCAATGAAAATTTTTTGTTTCTACACTAGGTATTTTTGTTTTACTTGGTGGAAAAATATCTTACTTTATTTTGAGAGAATTACATGCAATTTTTACTCAACACAATTAATTACTCATAAATTTATTATTTTTTTTAGAGTAATTAATTGTGTTGAGCGATTTTAGAATAATTCCCCCCCCCCCCTTTTTTAATAAACAATGGAGCACTTTCTGCACCGGGCCACTCGGTGCTAGAAATCCCCAAATTTCTACAGCCCCCTCCCGATTTCTGAATCCTGAAAATGCTCGCCGGTCACCAAATAAAGTGCTAGTAATTTTTTTTTTAATTAATTTTATTATATGGTCAAATAAATGGTAGTGCTAGTAATTATCAAGGGCCAATCCATCCACGTCGACACGAACCCAGTTCATTGGAGGCGCTGTCCAGAGCTGTTCGGGTGGCTTGAAAGTTTGGAAGATATGATGCTTTAGCTTGTTGTTAGCAGTAGTTTCCATAAGCATGAACTTGCATCTGTGAATGATCTCCGTTGTAGTGATTGTGGAATCCCCAAAGATAAATGATTTACAAATATTTGGAGGTCCAACTTTTAGGATAGGCTCTGTCACATTTTTTTAAATAATTTTATCACGCATTTAATTGCATTGAAAGTGATTTTTTAGTTAATTCATGCTTTATTTAGCTAATGATTGTTGATTTTTTTTCTATTGGAGTGAGGGCTGTGAAACGATTTAAAATTTGTTAATTTTACTTCAATTTTACTCCTGCAAGTATAGTTGAGGCCGCTCGAGTTTGGACTCTACATAATCATGATTATAAGAAAGTGTTTGAAAAGTTTTAATTAACTATAAGATTTGGAATTGCAAATTGATGTAAATTATAAGAATTAATGGGTTAATTGCTTTTGCCAACAAAGAATTAACTATCACATTCTTACTGCTAATAAGAATGTGATATTAGATTGTCTCTGATAGAAAGAAATGATTTTATGATGAACAAAGCCATGACTATTTTATTCTGTTTTTCACTCGGCGTGGAGATGAACAAAGTCTATTCAATATGATGTGCCAATTTTTCATACCCATTGAGTTGGACCGATATGTCTTTTTAAGATCAAAGACTTGCATGCCTATTTTTGATTAAGGACATGCTTAGTATTTTATTGTGTTTGTTGTTTCAAATTTTAGTTCTTTAGTCTAAATGTACATACGTGTGTTTATGGGCATGCTTGCTTGCATTTTTGTATTTTATATTTCCTCTGCATTTTCAATTTAAAGGAGTGTGAATTGCTTGAAGAATTGGTTCACAGGCAGCAAATTGACAAATAGCGTTCAAAACCCCATCCTAGTATTCATTCTTCTAGTAAGTGGTTTACTATTTTCCAATTCTATAATGTATTTTTAGTTTGTCCAACAGGAATGAAATTATTATTATTTGATATCTTCTTTGAAAGTATGAACCACGATATTTACATTCAGCAAAAGAAAGGGCTGAAGATCTTGTAGCTCAAAGTGTTGAAAGTCCTCTAGTGGTTGGAGTAAAAATTGAAGAATCAAAAGATCAAATAGATGTCACATGGAATTGAAGAAGTTAATGAATTTTTCTGGGTAATATATAGCTTTGTCATTATTTTTGTATGGATTGCCAGTTCATAAATTAAAAATTCACTCTCAACTTTTAATAATGTATTTCATGGATGCTAACTGGATTATCAGCTTGTTGTATATATGGATTTATATTTCTTATTGCGAGGATTCGGAGCTAGATAAAATAATGTATGTAGTAACAAAGTCACTAAGTCGAACTCAGTTTGGATTTTACAACAAATGCACTCTAAAAGAAAAGTGTGAAAATGCTAAGATGGAGAGATGTCTCGGAGAGTGAATTCTACGATGTATACACACACTGGTCATGCTGAGAAAATCACCCACATCTTTTCAATATTATGATAAAACCCCTGCTTTGATTATAAAATTACTCCCACTCTAATTCAATAAAGGGGAGAAAAATTACATCTAATGCCCCAAACATATTACTCATTGGAAACCAAATCTTTCCAATATTATGATATGACCCCTGCTTTGATTGGGCTTTTATTTTGGGCTTTGATCCACCAAGGGGTGGACAACCCAACACGTATTTTTAAAGTGCTACTGCTGCTCAATGTATTGGCCTAAAACCATTGCAGTTGATATCTTAAAAAGCATTGCATTTCTTATGTAAATATGTCACATCCTCAAGCTTTGTTCTTCATGCCATAACTTTGCATTTCTTACTACAGTGTTTTCTTGTAATCAGATAAAGCTAGTGCTCAATGACATCATATAAATTGTCAGAACTTACTCAGTTCGCATAGATTTCTCTTCCATTTTTAGTGTGGTAAATATTAATTATCATTTTTAATTTACCTGATAAACTTATCTACATTAATAATGTTTTGTTATAAATGAGGTAAGCCTCAGCGAAGTTTGTTGACATCGTCTACAACATTATACACACACACACACGCATATGTGTTCCATGATGCTCAGAAGTTGGCCGATAAAAGTTCAGGAAACATGAAAGTATGTTAAATACTAGTTCAATTCATTATTGTTCCATGGCTAGGTTGAGTGGAGAAGAGCGTGTGAGCTGTTATACATGTTAATGTTCACTGTAAAATAAAATTGGTGGTTTAAAATGAGGGATAATGATGCCGTTGAATTTGTTTCTCACTAATTTTTAATTAAATAATTCATGATTATGGTTGTTTAAAATGCAGCTTATTTACTTATATTATATGGGTTGTTTATCTTGTAGGCGACACCGACGGCAAACGTGAACAGTGAGCTTCTGATTGCTTGAGTCGTGCCTGGAAGAACACTGTCCTTAAGAACTATTCCGGCACACCTAGACGACGGACCGACAGTTCCCCAGGATTAAACAACCATTTCCTGCGGCAGGGCAAGGGAACAGAACAACAGAGACAAAAACACACACGAACAGAAGACAGAGGGAGGAGAGAATTGCCCTAGAAAACTCAAGAGGCTGGCCCTTTGTTCTGTCTGCACCCATGGCTATATATAGGCCGAGGAAGGAGACACAAACGTTGGGTTATAATTATCGGTTAATGGTTCGGTTATACACACATTAAACAACGAACGTTCAGCGTTTAACGCTTCAGTTACAGACACAGCAAAAACGTGCATGTCCATTAATCCGAAAACGTTCAGCGTTCATTAATCTGGAGACGTTTGGCAGACAAAACATTAACCTTCAAATTTAGTTTCCAGAAGAGGTTTAATGTCCAGAAACTGCCAAAGCCTCAAGTTCAAATTCAAAACAGCAAAATCAGAGTTTTTTTGGGTAAGCAAAAAATAATTATTTATTTAATCATTTTTGTAAAAATAACCCGATAAAAGGAACCCAGTGCCTCTTGAACTCGCGCACAGGGGGGTGAATCGGCTGATTACAACTGTGATTGTCTTGAGTTGGCCTGTCTCATGTGCGTGAGGCCACTTCTCCTCCAAGCCCATTTCACTAGCCCACTTCATTCCTTAGTATATATACACTAGGAGATTACTTCTTTTAGTCAATGTGGGACTTTGACACACACACTTTTGACACACATATAACAATCCCCTATATGTGTCAAAAGGATCTATGTTCATCTGAGTTATTCACACGGAGGATAATCACTTTGAATTTGGTGTCTGTCGACTTGAACCAAACCTAGACTAATAAAACTTAGCACACAGAAAAGTTGGTGTAACTTCGTTATTGAACCAACAGATCTTGAGCGTGTGCTAGAGGTCTTATTAATCAGATTATACCCCTACAGTCTCTACTATTAATGATGGTTTTGCACGTTATCGGCCATGCGCACGCCTGGTTTTAACAAATGCTCTAGAAATTTCGCCACGATCTCATAGGAGCGGCCCCACTCCACATTTGTATAGGTGTTTTCATCAAGTGTATCTGTAATGAATACACCATCGTAAGGACTATGAAAACATTAAGAGCTTTCGCTCAGCCTCCGTTCAATGCATTCTAGCACTTTCCATAGGAAGGGACAAAATTCAATGCTAGCAAAACTAATAAGTGACTTGTTCTTACCCATTGAACTTTTTTCATGGGATCTCTAATCACAAAGGTTGGGTTGTCATCACCATTAATTTCAAACAGGCTTAAGTCCCATTCCCCTCGACGTTTCAATAATAAATTTCTTCCCTAGGGGTTTCGTTAACGGATCCGCCAGATTTAACTCTGATCTCACATAATCGATTGAGATGACCCCGTCTTTGAGCAGCTGCCTTATAATATTATGTCTCAATCGAATATGTCTACTTTTGTCATTGAAGGTCTTATTTTTAGCCGTTGCTATTGCAGACTAGCTATCACAAAATAAAGACACTGATGGTGTGGGCTTTTCACCTATTGGAATACTTACTAAGAAGTTTTTCAACCACTCAGCCTCAGTCCCAGCTAGGTCCATGGCAATGAACTCAGAATCCCTTGAGGATTTTGTGTTGATTGTCTGTTTTGCAGACTTCCAGGTTATTGCACCACCACCAAGAGTGAATATATAACCACTAGTGAATTTTGTCTCTTCTGAATCCAAAATCCAGTTAGCATCACTGTATCCTTCCAATACAGCGGGAAATCTACTATACAATATACCATAATTCATGGTACCTTTCAAATATCTCAAGACTCTCACTAGAGCCTCCCAGTGTTTACTGCCTGGACAGTGAGTATATCTACTCAATCTGCCTACAGCATAAGTTATATCAGGCCTAGTAAAGTTCATCAAATGTAACAGACTCCTAATAATCTATGCATACTTAGATTGAGCAACTAGGTCACCCTTGTGCTTTTTTAATTGCACACTCGAATCATAAGGAGTACTCAGAGGAGCATTTTCAAGATGTCCAAACTTTCTGAGAATTTTCTCAACATAATGTTCTTGGGAAAGCAAGATTCCATTTTCATTCCTTATGATTTTTACACCCAAGATTACCTTGGCTTCACCCATATCTTTCATATCAAAATTTGAAGAAAGAAAATTTTTTGTTTCATTAACAACATACATACTAGAGCCAAAAATCAGCATATCATCCACATACAAGCATATAATCACACAATCATTATTCACAAACTTTGTATAAACACATCTTTCTACTTCAACAGTAGAAAATCCACCAGTTGTCAAAACTTGATCAAGTTTCTCATGCCATTGCTTAGGCGCTTGATACAAAGACTTTAAAAGTTTACAAACTTTATTTTCTTGCCCAGGAATCACACATCCCTCAGGCTATACCATGTAAATTTCTTCTTCCAAATCACCATTTAAAAAAGCAGTTTTAACATCCATTTGGTGAACAAAAAGTTTGTAAATTGAAGCCAAAGCAATAAGAACTCTTGTAGAAGAGATTCTAGTCATAGGAAAAAATGTGTCAAAATAATCTATATTTTCTTTTTAAGTAAAACCCTTGGCCACAAGCCTTGCTTTATACTTATCAATTGAACCGTCTGGAAAATATTTTTTCTTAAAAATTCATTTACACCCAATAGCCTTAGCTCCTTGGGGAAAATTTGATAAAACCCAAGTTTTATTTTTCCTTAAAGAATCAATTTCAATTTCAATTGCTTCTTTCCAAAATTTGGCATCAAGAGAAGAAATAGCTTCATAAAAATTTAACGGTTCATCTTGTACTACATAAGTGTAAAAATCATTTCCAAAACTTGTTTCTTTCCTTTGCCTTTTACTTCTCCTTAAAACCAAATCCTCATTTAAATTTTGTTCAAACTCTGAATTCTCAACAGGTTTAGAAACATACTTAATTTTCAAGGGAAAAATATGTTCAAAAAATTCAGCATCCTTAGTTTCTACAATTATGTTTTGGTCTAAAACATCACTTTTTAAAAATAAAAAATGATATGCTGCACTTTGTTCAGCATACCCAATAAACATACAATGAGAAGTTTTAGAGCCAATTTTCCTCTTTTTAGGATCAGGCAATAAAACTTTTGCAAGATACCCCCACACTTTCAAATATTTTAAGTTTAGGGTAAATCCATTCATAACTCATAAGGTGTTTTTCTTTATTTTCTTATGAGGTATCCTATTTTGTAAAAAACATGCAGACAAAATAGCTTCACCCCACAAGTTATCAGGGACAGAAGAACTCACAAGCAAAGCATTCATCATTTCTTTTAATGTTCTATTTTTTCTTTCTGCAACACCATTAGATTCGGGAGAATAAGGAGGTGTTATCTCATGTATAATTCCTTCTTTTTCACAAAAATCATTTAACAAAACATATTCTCCTCCTTTATCCGATTTTAATTCTTTTGTTTAATTGATTCTTAACCTCTGCTTTATATAAAAGAAATTTTTCAAAAGCCTCATCTTTGTTTCTTAACAAGTATACTTTAGTATATCTTGAAAAATCATCAATAAAAGTGATATAATATTTTTTTACCACCTCTAGTCATGGTTTGTTTTAAGTCACCTAAATCTGTGTGAATTAGAGATAGTAATTCAGATTCTCTTTGACTAGAAAAATGAGGTTTTTTACTTTGTTTAGTTTCTGCACATACTTCACATTTTCCAAAATCATTGTTTTTAATTTCAGAAAGTAGTCCAAGTTGTCGCATCCTATTTATATAACCTTTACTAGTGTGACCTAGTCTAGTATGCCACAGATCAAAAGAATCAACCATATACTCAAAAGATTCAGTCTTATTCATTTCATCAACATTCAAAACAAACAGTTCCTGATTACAATACCCCTTGCCTACAAACACATTATTTTTTGTCATTACAATCTTGTCAGATTCAAATGACACTTTAACCCCAGCTTTTCCTAAAAGAGCAACTGACACTAAGTTTGCTCTAACTTCAGGCACATGCAGAACGTCGTTCAAAGCCAGAGTCTTCCTTGATGTGAGCTTTAAGACCACTTTTCTTTTTCCTTGAACTTTGGCAGTTCGGAAATCAGCAAGGTAAACATGGTCTTCCCCTTCCTTTACAGGATTATATATGGTAAACATCTCTTGGCTAGCACATATGTGCCTGGTAGCCCCAGAGTCTACCACCCATTTCTTCACATCAGAAATCAAGAGAGCTTGTGACACCACTGCAGCAATGATGTCATCATCACTGTCACCATCTCGTTGTACCAAATTTACATTTGGCTTTCGAGGCTTATCACGGTTTGCTCTCTTCCTACACTGTGCTGCTAATGTCCTGGTTTACCACACATAAAACAGTCTCCTTTCTTTTTGAAAGAGGGGTTAGAAGCATTGGGTTTGTAATCAGATTTTATATTCTTCTTGTCTTTAGTTTTAGAATCATACCTCTTGTTGTGAGGCTTTGACTCCACCAGGTTGGCTTTGGATGTCATTTCTCTAATTCGAGCTACACGTATTGCCTTGCAGTTGGTGTCTTCGATGATGATGTGAGTGATCGAGTCAGTCAAGGACAGCTGCTTCTGTTTGTGTTTTAATTGCTGTTTGTAGTCAAACCATGATTCTGGCAGCTTCTCAATCAGTATCCCAGCAACGAACTCATCTAGAAGGTTGATGTTTTCAGCATGAAGCTCCTCTAGCAGCTTGTGATATTCGTTGATTTGCTCCTTTACATCCTTGTTCTCAGTCATCTCCCATTTGTAGTAGTTGCCCACAACGAACTTTTGTTTGCCGGCATCCTCAGTAGTGTACTTTGTCACCAGGGACTCCCATATCTTACAAGCTTCCTTATAGATACAGTAGACATCGAACAAATCATTAGATAAAGTGCTAATAATAGTGTGTCGGCATACCTTGTTTGCATGAGTCTATGCAACTCTCTGGGCTTGATCAGTATCAGCAGGAGGCTCGGATTGAGTAAGAGCAGTTGCCACACCATGCATGTCAAGGATGGTGAAGACACATTCTTGCCAGCATTTAAAATTCCGGCCATCAAAGACTTCTATCTTCGATATGTCCGGGAACGGCCTCGGAAGGGGAATGACAACAGCGACAGGGACGTATTGACCTCCGGCCGAACCACTTGGCACACCTTCGGGAGTGACATTCTCAGCACTGTTGGTCGCCATTGGGCTGAATAGTTCTTAAGAATGTAGGCGACACCGACAGCGGACGTGAACAACGAGCTTCTGATTGCTTGAGTCGCGCTCGGAAGGACACTGTCCTTAAGAACTATTCCGGCACACCTGGACGACAGACCGGCAGTTCTCAAGAATTAAACAAGCACTTCCTACGGCAGGGCAAGGGAACAGAAAAACAGAGACAAAAACACACACGAATAGAAGACAAAGGGAGGAGAGAATTGCCCCAAAAAACTCAAGAGGCTGGCCCTTTGTTCTGTCCGCACCCATGGCTATATATAGGCCAAGGAAGGAGACACAAACGTTGGGTTATAATTACCAGTTAATGGTTCGGTTATACACACATTAAACAACGAATGTTCAGCGTTTAACACTTCAGTTATAGACACAGCAAAAACGTGCATGTCCATTAATCCGAAAACGTTCAGCGTTCATTAATCTGGAGACGTTTGGCAGACAAAACATTAACCTTCAAAATTCAGTTTCCAGAAGAGGTTTAATGTCCAGAAACTGCCAAAGCCTCAAGTTCAAATTCAAAACAGCAAAATCAGAGTTTTTTTGGGTAAGCAAAAAATAATTATTTATTTAATCATTTTTGTAAAAATAACCCGGTAAAAGGAACCCAGTGCCTCTTGAACTCGCGCGCAGGGAGGGCGAATCGGCTGATTACATCAGTGATTGTCCTAAGTTGGCCTGTCTCATGTGCGCGAGGCCACTTCTCCTCCAAGCTCATTTTACTAGCCCACTTCATTCCTTATTATATATACACTAGGAGATTACTTCTTTTAGTCAATGTGGGACTTTGATACACACACTTTTAACACACATATAACATATCTTTCAGGGTGCATCTGGATCTAGAGATGCCACAAAGATGAAGAAACGATTTATTTTTTATTGACCTCCAGGATGTAAGCATGAACAGAACTCGATAGTGTTGTGGATAGTAATTTTTTTAATTTATTGTAGTCAAAGGAATTGGAGAGGTTTATGGTTAATCTTGTAAACTACTTATTTATTTTTTAATTTTCTAGATTAAAGATTGAGGAAGAAATTATTTGTAGGTTTATCCCTTGTATATCCATTTTTATTACCAAAATTTACTATTCATTATGAAGAATGTTGAAATTTATAAAAAAAAAGAAATAGGGGAATTAATTTGGAATAAAATTCTCCTTTTTTTTAATATTAACTTTCTATACGACTTGGAGCTTATAATTGGTGTAAAAAGTAAAAATCGATATAGAAAGTCAACTTTCTACATTAGTTATGAAATTGATGTAGACTTTCTACACTCCAACTTTCTACTCCAATTACAAAACTGGTCATTTCTAACCAATATAAAAGGTGTTGTTTGTAGTAATATATCATTCTAAAATGTCACCAATTAGTTAATTAACAAGGTGTTTTAGTGTCACAGCAAGTCAAATTCTTGTGTGTATGTTTATAAACCACTCTACACTTATATGTCAAAATCTGAAATTTGAAAATTACAAGCATTAATAACTATTTGACAAGTAATATGTACTAAAATAGCAAGCCATTATTACAGTTCCATACACAGGACAAAATGGAATCTTCAATTGTACAAGTTGCGTGATTGAATATACATCCATAACAATTGTCGATAAAACAAGTAATCTCCAAGAAGCTATCTATGCTTCTCTTATCACAAAAGGAAGATAATGAAATTGAAATAGCCTTCCACTATCAAAAGATAGTCATCCTTTGCAATTCTCAGCACTGACTAAATCAAGCGATTCATGGTCACGCAACGCCAAACCTTCGATGATACACTCCAAAGTCAATAGCAACTTGGACTAACCCAATGGAGGACTTGTATTGTACCAGAAAACTCAAGCAACCGATTCTCACTTTTGCAAAATAAGCTCTGACTATGATCCATGCAAGTAATTTCGAAAGTTGCGTTGAAGCTTTTTACAAATATGGTTTCTATCATATACTTTCGTTGTGTTTAAACATTAGGGGCAATAATGTCATTTTGTTGTTAGACTTAATTTTATTTTGGTCCTCAAAGCTTGCAGCGTGACTTCAAATTTGGTTGGTCTTGTCTTGATTTGAAGATGTCTAGCTACTGTGGTTCTATAATGAAATTCTCCCTTCTTTAGTTTTTAATATCTAAAATATATGCCATGTGGTGTGGCTACCAGATAGTAGATAAATCAAACTAATGGTCACAGTAGTCCATGGCAACATTATATTGTAGTCTCTATTTATCAAATTGTAAAATAATTTTAAAGGAATTTTTTTCTCAAAATATAAAACAATTTATAATAATTGAATGTGTAAAGGTATTTTTAAAAAGACATAGTTTTATTATGAAAAAATAAGTTTGCAAAGTGTCATTATCATATTTTATTAATATGTATAATTTTATATCAAATTATCTTATACTTTGAGACAGAGTAAGTATTATGTTAAAAAATGTTGGAGCAATATTGTATAAAAAAAAACTTGAAAATACCAATTGCATTTATATGAAAACTTTGGGATCAAATTTGTACAGTAACCCAAAACCATTCATTCTTTGAAAATTGAATACACTCAATAGTTTATTTATTAAAAAAATAAATCTACATCTATATTCCATATAGTAAGTTTGTACACCATGCCGCATCAATAAATGCAATGAAAATATCAACCACGGTGCCCAAATTCAACTAACTTTAGCTATTACGGCCTCCAGTATTAACTATTAAGCCATTAAAGTCAAACTAGAAACCTCTTTTTAGTATTTCGAGGTCAATAGATACAAGCCAGGCCTATTTATTAGTATTCGCCTATTCGGCAAAAGTATATAAAAATATAAAGATATATTTGATAAAAAAAAAAATTATACACACGCATAGGTATTGTTTGAATGTAAAACATGCTCCTCCATCTTAAATTTTAAAATTTTTTTTAAAAATTTTTATTATAAATATAAAATATTTTGATAAAATCAATATTTTACTAAATACATTTATTTTAATATTATTATTTTTATTTATCTAAATTTAATCCTCGTGCAATGCATGGAAATGTTTCAGCATATAAAAGATAAAAATAAAAAATTTTAAAATGATTTTAGACTACTTATAATTTAAAGTAAAATACATGGTCCTCCCTCCATTTTATTTTAATTGTAAATACTTATTTTTATTTTTAAAATCTATACAAACCTTTCTTAAAATTAATAGATATAAATGCCTTTTTTTTTTTTTACTTTTAAGCTTTCATTTCTATCTATCCAATCATTAGTTGACAATTAAGTTATATAAATTAGATTAAAATTAATTTTTTAAAATATAAATATTATCTAAAAATTATTCATGCTACCCCAAAACATTTAAATGATAAATTATTTTAAATTTTATTCATTTTTTTAAATTTATAGTTATAAAAATGATTTATTTATTATTTTAAAAAATTTAAATATATATGTTTGCTAAAATAATGTTTTAAAAATAATAGAATATGAATTTCTTTCAGTTAATTAATGGAATATGAATTTAATATAATAAGAGATATATTAGTCAATATAATTTATGCTTATTTTTATTTGAAATTTATAATTTTAATAAAATTATTTTTAAAACACTAACCTTTATATTTTATTCTACAATTTATTATCATATGCATATAAAATTTAAAAGTAATAAATTATTTTATTTATAATTTTTTATTTTCGAAATAAAACTCATCAAGTTACTTATGAACATTTTATGTTTTATCTAAATAATTTTTTTTAATTTCATTGCATATTTAGCACCTATATATTATTTTTTTAGGTTAATAAACAAAATGGACCTTAAAGTATTATAAAAAAAGTGCTCTAGATCTTGAATTCTTAAAATGTACAAAATAGACTCTAAACCTCTCCATTAACTGCTAATTAACGCCTTTACCATTCATTTAGTAGAGCCCAGTCAAAATGTTGATATGGCAACTTTTTACTAATGTGACATTTTTAATTAACATCACAAGTCCTAAACTATTGTACGAATAACATCTTGAATCCTAAACTTTAAAATTTAAAGCAAATTATCATTACTATTTTTGTATAGAATGGTGACTATTGTATAAACCAAATTAGCCTCAGAGTGGTCTGTCATAGTGAATGCATCATTGGCTGCATTGAACGACCCATAATTTTATAAGATAACATTTTTTGCTCTTTTTTTTTGCAATGTTTTCTAAACAATTGGTATCTCATGCTTTTATATACTCTATTATTCTCATTTAGTCTTATTTTAAATGATTTTTATTTATTTAATGTTAAAACTTGAGATCCTATTTAAAAAATATTTTAAAAAATAGTATAGCATACTATTCAAAACACTGTATATCTACAGTGTTTTAATATGTGCTTTACTATATACATTGAATGGATGAAATGATATTGATGATTAATTCTAGATTTTTGATAGCTTTATGTTAGAGTTTGAATTTAAATATCAATTGATATCAAAATTAACAAGAGAAAATCAACTACTCCCTTCCTTTCTTATAATCATTATTATAATTATAGGAAAAACATAATTATTAGTTTTTATAATTATATTAAATTTTTTTAATCCTTGTAATTTTTTTAATATTTTCAATCCCTATAATTTTAGTAAGATTAAGTGATGTTTATTGGTCAAGTCCAAATGATGTTAAATCACAGGGACTATAATAACTGAAAACAAATTGAAAGGATTAAAAGTAAATCTTGACAAAACTTTTAAGACCAATAATGATATTTTTTCATAATTGCAAGACATTTTTTTAGTCTCTATTATATTTCTAAAACATTCCAGTCTTTCCAAGTATCAATATCCTAAGACTTGGATCGGATTAGCATTGAATAGGGACCAATTCTAAGCTAAAATTTATGCGCGCGCATATATACATCTACATACATATACATACATACATACATACATACATATATATAATAACACACACGAAATGTACATGGAAAGAAGAAAAATGAACAAATATATAAAAAATATGTATGTATATGTACATTATAAAATTATAGGTCGTGAATCATGAAATAAATATATGCATTGAGAGAAAGATGATTGAGTATTAACAGTATTTACATGTAAGGTTAAAGGGCGCAAAAAAAAAAAAAAAAATCTAAAGAATTTTTTCGCTAAGAGCGCAGGTCAACAATGATACATTGATATCTATGCATTCCTTTTAGTGGGATATCATGACTATCCTGTTAAATTTTAATACATTCGTTAAGACTGACAATTTTAAAAAAACGATAAGATGCAAAAATATTCAGAAATTTTTTCTCTAGAAACTTTTGATATCCTTAAGTATGGGTATTTTTGTTCATGAAGAAAAAGAATTAGAAGAGAGAGGTGCTAAAAAGACTTCTCATCAGCAAAGAACACAGTCGTATTTAAATTGTAAAAAATTTTAAAAAATTTGTTAATCATTAATTTAAACAGTACAGATTTAATCTAGATAATTAAATTTGATATTATTTTTTAGATTGATTATCCAAATTTATTCTAAGTAATACAAATAATATCCTTGCACTTTCCAAAAAAAAATATTTTTTAAAAAAATTACAAGTTAAAAATTTTAAATAGGAACCATTCAAAATTAATTTATAAAAATTTTAATATTAAATTTGATTCATATACATTAAATAAAAACTATTTAGATCGGCGATAAAGCAGTTTTATTAATTTTTTTATTAAAAATATAAAACATGATTGTGCTTTGCATGTGAGAAATATTTTTATAAATCTCTATCTTTTCAATTACTTTCTTCATATCATAATATAATTTATTTTCTAAAAGTTTTGCCTGGTCCACAATATAAGGTATTGGGTGGGTATTATATAATTTTTTTTCAATTAATCCTTACTTTATTAAGTAATTAATGAAGATATTTTGAATAATTAAGTCAAATGCTATATTTATTACACTTAAGTGTATTTTAGAAACATAAGTTAATTAACAATGAATATATATATATATATATATATAGTATAATTCGGAGAGAGTATTGAATAAAATGCACGGTCAGGATTGCCCAGCTCCGCTGCACTGGATCCGTTCCCACTTCCCAGGATTCAATCATATTAAAGCTACATGAGCTGATATTTCGACCTGTTTAATTGCGGATTCAATTATAATTTCAGAATATACTCTTGATTGCAAATGATGTATCAAATTAATGAGGTTCAATTTTTTATTTATTTATCAGAGATATTTTTGGAATAACACCAATTACTGTTAACATTCATCAAAATGCCTTTTGAATTAAAATATAAAACCTTAAAAACTTGCCTCATTTATTTTTAATATTTTGACCCAAAAATTAAATTCAAGAGAAAATCACAAATCACAAATCAAAAACTTAATTATAAAAATGACAAAATACCACGTCATTCTTTTTCCCCGACATCAAAGAATGGATGAGAAAAACCATGAAAGGAAGGAAAAAAAGGACAAAAATCTGTCACCAGCCATGCAATAATTACCTGTAAAAAAAAAAAATTGAAGCTTTTATGGCAACAAAATTATCGTCAAACATGTTATCAAAAAAAAAAAAAATCATCAAACACACCATGTTCTCCACTATATATCCCTCACAACGCAACACGAACACAAACACAACACAGCACAACAGAAACACACGTTCAGATTTCCAACAACATAAATATGTCTTCTTCTTCTCCTTTCATGGATTGGCCTGTGAAATTCGTTTTCAGATACACACATATAGTTCTACTGATTTTCTTCTTCCTTTCTTCTTCTTCCTCTTCTTTACCTTTACACCCTCTGGTTGGTGATAATACGACGGCGTATCACAGAAACTTCACTGCGATATCTGAATTTAGAGTGCTCAACAGAAGAATCTTGGAGGATTGTTCGGCTTCTTCTAGCCCTAATTATCTGCAAGTGAATGTCACGACTAATTCTTCGTCTTCTTCATCGTCTAAGAATGGATTACCAGATGACGAGTTTGTCACTGTCACTGTTTCTGGTGTTTCTCAGCCTTCGGATGATGATTGGGTTGCTATGATCTCACCCTCAGATTCTGAGTAAGACTATAACTTTACGCCTTAATATTATCTATAATTCTATTTACGTTTTGATTTGATATATTTTGATTTTGATTAATTAATTTGATTCTCTTCTTTTTTTTTATTTTGGCTAATTTTGAAGACAGATTATAAATTAGACACAATATTTTTGAATTTTGATCTACTTTAAGGTTATGTGTCTCATCGATGATCACTTTATATTGGCGAATAATTCTGCCTCACTTTTTGCCTCCTTTAATTTCTTTGAAATTAATTAATCATTTTATTACCTATTTTAATTAAGCTTCAAGTGTCGTTGATGATAATTATGCAAAATTTTAATTAAAATTTAATGATTCGTTCAAATCTAATATAAAAAATGTGGGCCTTTGTTTCGAAGTTTTATTTATTTTTTATTTTTTTAAAAAAGATGAAACTGTGACCATCTTAAATAAAATGTGATTAAAATACAAAAAATTGAAATATTAAATAATTTAAATTTCATTAAAACGATTTAAGAACACGATGCAATTATATATGAAATTGCGCATACATTGTGGACTTTCACGTATCACTATGTAATATATTTATTTATTCTAAAATGAGTCTTTTTAAAACTTCACGTCATCAACCTGAAGCCTTGATTTTAAATAAATTTTAATTTTAATTTTCAGGATTCGCTCCATAAAGCATAGGCCTCATATATTAATTATAAATATTTTAATCTGATTTCTTACTTTTTGTTGATGCAGCGTCAAAGCATGTCTTTCTAATTGGAACCTTTATCTTCAAACTGGTGATACTGCTAAGCTTCCTCTTCTCTGTCATTACCCTGTAAAGGTATGCCCATGCTTCTTTTTATTTTTATTTTTATTTAGTTGATATTAGTTTGTTTATTTAAAATTACTCATTTTTTAAAAAATATATTTTATGAAATTTTCTGATTTTTATTTAAAATTTTAAAAATAATTAGATTTTTTAAAAATATTTTTCTGATTACCTGATTAATTATTATTTTCTAAGATATTATTTTGATGATTTTAGTGTCATTTTCATGCCTTGCCTTTTGTGGCTCCTTCCGTTCGGCAAGTGCTTTACGAGGCTGATAATTTATTATTCGGTGAAAACTACAAAAGGTCAATTAATATATTATTTGCAAAGATTCAAAATAAATTATGACAACAAAATGAATGTGGACACTGTGATTTCATGATAGACCATGCCTCATTAATGCTCCACCTGTCAATCATCTTTTGGGTATATCCTTCTAAACTTGTTTCTTTGATTTTTTTTACACGAATTTAATATTTAAATTTTAAAAATAAATATCGTAGGTGGATTTGAGATTAATGTTAAAACTTAAATAGTGATATGAATTTACACAATTTAATTTTCGAATTAAAATTATTTAAGGGATTGTTCAGTTTATAAAATTAAATGATAATTTAGAATTCAGTTTAGAGCGTTTTAGCACTTGCTTAAAAAGTTGGTATCAGTTACTTTATTGTGGCTAACTTCATGTAATTTATTCATTTATTTGAATTGACATATCAGCAAATCCAATAAACATGTGAATATCATGAAATCTTTTAATAAAGTACATGTTTATTTTTTTCAGATTAATTTAAATAATAATGATTTATATAGTTCACTGCATCAAAAAAAAATTAAAAAAAATGATAATAAAATCTCAAAAGGATGAATTAATGATAGTTAGGTCCTAACCAATTTTTTGATAAAATAAGTTACAGATATCAACTTAAACAATTATAAATAAGAGTTCAAATTGTAAATTAATTGTTATATTTAGAATTTAAATACTGTATTTACAATGAAATTTTTAAATTTATAATTATAATTATTTAAATTAATATTTACAATTAATTTTTTGAATAAATTTATTGTCATTAATTTTCTTTATCAAGACTTACCTGTCATTTTCTCAAAAAATAATGTTTCATATTGTTCGTTCATGCCGAAATGAATCAGTTTTGACTAATTAACAAATAAAATTTTTTTATTTATGATCTACAACTAAATTGAATTAATTCTTTATTCATATTTTCACATCATCGGTGAGAACATAAAAAAAAATGAATTTAAGATAGTATATATGGTGAGGCAGTCATATACGAAATATCTTTGAAGTCAAAATATAATTAATCCTACTACTGAAAAAATTTATTGTGATTAGTCCATTGTTAACGTGAAAGCTTCCATAATTAGAAATGAATAATTAATTATGAATTACTTGGTTTGTTTATTGCAAATAGAAGTGTGAACATGAGAACACACATGGACTAAAAACATGAAATTTTTAATTCGAGTATATTCTTTCTATTGACTTTGTGAACTGTATATGTTAAGCTTTCAACATCCATAATGTTGATTGATTCATGCCTAAATATGCCACACATGCATGTTGTGACCAAACCCTATATTTGGGCTTTTTAAATATTGCAACGCTTCAATTGTAATCTTGTTTAAGTAATTAAAGTGAAAGTGATGAAAGCAACATTTAAGGCTTGTTGGAACATTTTCTTGTTAATGATTTAACCTTGATAAGAAAACACACATGCACATATGTACCAAGTAAAGTTAGCATGACTGATAAAAACTCTCATCAATTAAATAAGTAGTATGAGATTCAAATATCAATCATTATTTGTAAAACCCAGACCGACCTGGCCCCATTAATCCTAAATTGATGAACTAGTCATTTAGCTAGTCTAATTGATTGAGGAAACCGATTACCTATGACCTAGCTTCAACCTAGACAAACCTCGTAAGTTAATGGGTTGACCTAAATCGAATTTTTTTTCTTTTCTTCTTTTGAATATTGCATCTTAGATCAAATATAAATTTCTTAATTAATAATTTTAATGCCACTGTGTTTTATTATTGGTAGAAATTTATAATTATTATTTTCATAAGACATGCATAAGATTTTATGTAAAAATATTTAGTTGAAAGATATATATTTATTACTCTCAATGTTGAAGAAGATAAGAACATATATCCACACACATGAGACGAGACGTCAGTGGCATATTATGGTACCTTAAAGACATTAACAAAGCGACGTGAAGACACAAAGTTCATTACGTTCACGTATCATATTTCTTCACGAAGACATTGTCAATTGAATAATCCAGACCACTAGTCTGGCATTATTCCGTCCACAACAAAAGTTTTATTCTTCTTTTTTTCCCTCCCTCTTTCCGGTGGGCGAATATATGTAGGTTTATTTTCTATTTTTCTTTCTCCTAGAAAATTATGTTCAAATATATTTTATTATTGAGAGGTATATTAATTTTGAATATTTAATTTAAATGCATTTTGTATTTGCTTTCATGAACAGTTGTTCTTTTCATTTTCTATGTGATTTCGTTTTGAAAATTACTTATATATTTAACTTTATATACTTAAGGTGTTTATTTTTAATTAAATCAAAACATATGTATTTTTTTATGAATTATTTATTCTATAATATATTCTTGTTATGAATATAATTAAGACATTAAAATCTAGATGTCTATTGATTTGAATATATAAGACTAATTAACTCTTGTCCTTTTGTTTTTGGGTGTTTTTAGTGGAGGCAGGGTTTATATAAGAAACCTTGCGATTTATTTAATATGATTTTTTTAAAAAAAATTACTTGATTATTTAGTTGTTTTTCCTTTTCATTTTGTTTGATTGAAATGAAATATAATATACAATGAAAATAACCTTTGAAATCTAAATATAAGAAATATATAATTTAAATTTTAAATAAAAAATTAAAATCTAGACATTCATATTGTATTTAAACAAATTGAATTACAAATCCTTACAAAACCAACTGAGAATCACCATTCATGAATATAAATATATAAATACATTTCAACGGTACAAAATAATAAAAATATGGTCATAAAAAACAAGTTAAATAATGATAGTTAGGTTCCAAAATACTAAATTAATGACAATTAGGTCTCCAACAAAATTTTCTACAAAATAAATTGTAAATATTAATGCAAATAGTTATAAACAAAAATTTTTGTTACAACCTAAGAGTTTCATTTAATACTTAAATACTTATTTATAATTAAAACCCTTGAATTTATAATTATCTAAATCAGTATTTTTAACTTTTTTTCAAAAAATTTGTTGAGGACTTAATTGTTGTTAATTTAGAATTTTGGGATCTAATTGTTATTCTTCCTAAATTAAATATTATAAATATACCTTTTCCTTGTTTGAAAAATTCCTTTTGATAAAAAACACTTATGTTACACATGATTAGGCACTTTAAATTCCATCACGTTACTGAATATCCTAATGTTTACAAAGAAAATTTAAATACTTCCTAATGCTGATAATAAAATTTTAGTTTCTTAAATTTGCTTTAGTTATTGATTTAATTCTTCAAGTTTAATTTTTATTGATTTCCCCCCTTACATTTTTTTTAAACTATCATATTAGTCTTTAAATTTTAAAATATAATTGACTCTCAAATTTATCTATTGCATAAAGTATGTTGATAATGTAGCATGAATGCGTAGCTAAATGAGAGCAAATTAATCTTCAAATTAAATTTAATTTTTATCAATTTAGTCCATTATGCTATATTTTATTTTTTGTTTTTTTAATTTCTAAGTCTATTCTTTTTCCTACCTAATTAATTACAGCCTTTTTATTAATCCACATGGTTGTCATTAATATTTTATTATCCATATCAGCAAATTTTAACAATGTTATCACCTCTTTAAATAATATGGATCAAATTGATAAAAATTAAATTTGAGGGACTAAAAATTTTATTACCCCTTCCTAATGTTTTATTAAAAAAATGCAGGCACAATACATGAAGAATGATCCAAATTACCTTAGTTGCAAGAACAAGGAGTGCAAGAAATCTGAGAATGGAAATTGCACTGTTACAACTTGTAGTGGTTCACTAAAGTTCCATGTTATCAACATTAGAACTGACATTGAGTTTGTCTTCTTCTCTGGAGGATTCTCCAACCCTTGCATTTTATCAAGGTCCACCCCTTTGAGTTTTGCTAACCCGTTGAAGCCTCTCTATGGACATATCTCAAGCATAGATTCATCCGGGACATCGGTAAGTCTCGATACAAGAAGGACTTAAATCCTCTAGAGTTGACATTCTTGAATTTTTATGAAGTGTTCATTTTTCTTTTCCTATTTTCCCTCGTCTTATTATTTTTATGAAACATAAAATCTTTCCCCCTCTTTTCTTAAAAAGACAAATTTCATGAGATTCGCATACAGGGATAGATCTACTGGGCAAGCACTTTCCACTTCCCTTTGAAAATTATAAAGAAAAAAATTGCTAAAATTGATTCTGAACCACCAATGTTTTATGTTATTTGAAATTTTGCCCCACATGTATATCACTCTGGATCTGTCCTTGCATGCATACATTGAACACAATGTAGTTGAATGTGGATCTTCTACAACAACTGTAGTCTCAAGTTAAAAGAGAAACAGAAAGTGGTGGAACTCACCTGACATATGAGCTTCACTATTCTCTTTATATCTCATCTATTAAATCATACAAGTTGTGAGATGAAATCCTGATCCAATATGGTTTAGCGGATATTGGACTTTTTTTTTTTTAATATAATGACATACTGACATGTGCTTGGTGCTGCAGATGAGAGTGATATGGGTTAGTGGAGACAAAGAGCCCCAGCAAGTTCAATATGCAGATGGAAAAACCGAGACTTCACAAGTCACCACATTCTCACAAGATGATATGTGCAGTAAGTACTAGTAGCTAAGTGTTCTTCCACAAAAGTAGATAATTATATATTATGAGTCTCATATTGTGGAGCTTTACAAATATAGTTTATAAATTCAAAAGACTCTCTCACCTAACATGCTAGTCTTTTGGGATAACCTGAGCACAAGTCCAAAAGACAATCCTATTAGGTGGAAGTATCTCTTGAACTTGTAAACTCCACTTTAATCATATAGAACTTATAACATTATATTTCCCCTTATAGACACTAGACACATATATAGGCAAATCCCAAGCAGGAACGCAGTTGATAAGGTTAAATTTCTCAGAGACATTACTGCCGCACGCGCGCATGCATATATATGAATGCGTGAAGTGTCTCATATTTAATGATGGCGTGATATAATAAGATTTTAACTACTCAGATCAAATTTGAGTAGATGTGTATTAGATCCTAATGTGACTTATCTTATAGCATTTAATTTCAAAATGGTAGGTTCAACTCTGAAAAGTCCTGCAAAGGATTTTGGGTGGCATGATCCAGGGTACATTCACTCAGCAATTATGAAAGGGCTTAAACCTTCAAGCGCTTTCTCATACAGATATGGAAGGTATGCCCTGGATTGAAGTTATTCTTACATGTTTAATGCATAAATGACTTATACTTGACTTGTTAACGGCCAAAATATTAAGCTATTAGGAAGACTTGATCTGCAAGAAACTGAGATTGTTTTTTATGTTAAAAGCAAAAGTCATCTTCCTTTTGTTGATGATTCAGTGACTCTGTTGGTTGGAGTGAACAAATTAAGTTTTCAACACCGCCTGCCGGAGGATCAGATGAACTCAGATTCCTTGCATATGGAGATATGGGAAAGACTCCTCTTGATGCTTCAGAAGAACACTACATTCAGGTACATTATCACATTTACAGAATCTAGTTGTAGCATTCAGATGCATATTGAGATATGAAGTCAAAACTTACTTTCATGACACTGTTCACCCATGTGAGAAAGAATATTCAGATTCACATGCATTGAATCATGAATCATAATAAGAAAACAGGATAACATGTAAAAGCCAGCATCAGTATGCATATGTGTACTAACCAGTTTCAGAATGTTTTTTGTGTTGCAGCCAGGAGCTTTCTCAGTTCTTAAAGCCATGGCTTCTGATGTAGATTCCAACAATGTAAACTCAATTTTTCACATTGGAGACATAAGCTACGCAACCGGCTTCCTTGTGGAATGGGACTTCTTCCTTCACCTTATTGCCCCTGTAGCATCTAGAGTTTCTTACATGACAGCAATTGGAAACCATGAAAGGTACTAAATTATTATGAAGCGAATGAATCTAACTGCAAAATTGAGACTGTTTCCTTCAACATTTTCCTCACTTGAAGGACTAAAGCGAAAGTTCCCAGTTAAAACAATGCTATATCATAACAGATCATTATTGACTCACTGTTTATGAATCAGGGATTATGTAGATTCTGGTTCAGTATATATCACTCCTGACTCTGGAGGTGAATGTGGAGTACCTTATGAGACATACTTTCAAATGCCAATCTCAGCAAAGGATAAGCCTTGGTATTCAATTGAACAAGGCAGTGTTCATTTCACTGTCATATCAACTGAACATGATTGGTCAGAAAATTCTGAGCAGGTAAGTAATAAATAAAATGTTTGAATCCTTTGAACTTTTCTGTGCAATAACATGTTCAACATTTCTCTTGCAGTATCAATGGATGCAAAAGGACATGGCCTTGGTGGATCGACAAAAAACTCCTTGGTTAATCTTCATGGGGTAAGTTAAGTAAATTTTAAGTCTCAGCAGAAGATATTGAGTATGTACTTTGTATTGTACTCACTTTAAGTGAAACATAATCACATTTCAGGCATAGACCAATGTACGCTTCCTCTCATGGATTTTTACCAAATGTTGATGACAATTTTGTCAAAGCTGTAGAACCATTGTTATTGGAGAACAAGGCAAGTCCACTAAGATTCAAAGTTAATGATTCTTTGTTCATGTTGCAAATGAGTGTATATGAATAATGATAAAGATGGTGAATGTTAAACAGGTTGATCTGGTTCTGTTTGGCCATGTTCATAATTATGAGAGAACTTGCTCTATTTATCAAAGCACATGTAAAGCCAAGCCTACAAAAGATGCAAAAGGAATTGAAACATATGACAACAAAAACTATACTGCTCCTGTTCATGTTGTGATTGGTATGGCTGGCTTCACATTAGACAAGTTCCCAAAAATGTAAGTGATAATTATCTATTCATGCCATTCCTAGATGACCATGATCTAGAGCTAGGAATATAGGCAAACCTGGACCATATGGGTTGACTCATATGAGTTAAAGAAAATATCAATTATATTGAATTCAACCTATTTTTATATGGGTTGGAAACATTCCAATCCTACCCTCGTAGGTTGGTAGGTTAAATGGGCCAAACTATGCCAATCCATTTATTATTATTTTTCATGGTTTTTTAAAAATTATACTTAAATTAGAAATTCTATTATGATAATCCATGCAATTTAAAAAAAATTTACATCATAAATATATGAGATTGATCAATTCCATCATGATTTATGCCAAAATTTGCCTTGTCTTTTGTGGTTTCAGTGCTAACACTCCCTCTATTTTTTATTTTTCAATTTTATTTTATTTTATATAAAATAACATGCATGGGTCAATCCTAACCTATCAAGGTTAACCCCCTTGGACCATAGATTATTTGGTTTGGTTTAGAAAAGATCTATTTTTATATTAGCCAATATTTTTTCAACCCGACCTGACCCTTGTAACAGGGTATCCGGGTTAACCCTTATTCCTGGCATGGTAACCTGGTAATCTTGTACTTTGTCTTCAAGCTCCAATCAGCTTTTGTTTAAGGCGAGGAAAGGACCAACTGAGCTAGGCTTTAGTTTTTGAGCTAAAATGATCCGTGGCATGTTACCTTATCTGGTATATCACAATCACATGGTTTGTTCTTGTGCATCCACAGGTGGATAGTTGGAGTCTGAAAAGAATTTCTGAATTTGGCTATTTACGAGCTCATGCAACAAGGCAAGAGTTAAATTTAGAGGTTAGTATTTTAATGACAATGTTAGAATGCTTACTTGATAAATACAGTATATGTGTTCACTTACTTAGAGTTACATAGTTCTTGCATATGTGTGTGTGTGTAATGTTATCTGTCTTTTTGTTTTTCCCTTAGAATCACTTTAAACTTCTGTGGTTTATGTGACTGAAGTGTAATGTCTCTCATCCTCTTTAATGCAGTTTGTAAACGCAAACACAAAACAAGTTGATGACAGTTTCCGAATTACAAAGTGAGGCTAAGATCATTCAGATATTTACTGATACAAGTCAACAGAAAGACTGCAATCAGACATGAATACACACACAGATACATATACATATATATATATATATTATATATATGGATGTATTTGAATTCATAGATATGTATATGTTCATGACCAAAAAACAAGTACTGTTGAAAGGGCAAGAGGAGGTAGAGATTGCTGCAGATCAATAGTTACTCAGTGTTAAGGCTTCGGCTAATTCATCTTTATTCTAAAGTTGCCTCTGTAAATTTTGAATTCTGATAGCATCTAAACCTTTTTATACATATAATTTGCAATTTCACTTGCTTTATTTAGCTTCTGTGAACATTACAAATGAGGGCCTATTTAGTTTGCTTGCATTTCACATTCAAAAAACAAAATTTTACTTTTAGGATGTTGAAAGTTATTTAGCTCAAATATTTTACAGAAAAATACATTCTAAAAGCACATTTAAACAATGACAAAAAGTGAATTTGAAAAACATAACTATTTAAAATTTTTGAAAAGTAGAATGTTATTTAACCATACTACTCCAAGTTTAATCTCTTATTCTTTTAATTAAAAAATAGTTAATTCATTAAAAATATAATTATCATTTCAATAATAACAATTAGATATTAAGTTTTTAGCATTATAAATTAAAAAATTAATTATGTTAATTTTTAGCATTAATGTATAATAAAGATTATAAATCTTTATCACATTTTCTAAAATTACCAATTAAAAAGTACAAAGGACTAGAGATCAAGTTTTTCGCATTATAGATTAAATTTTATGTTATTTAAAATTTTTATCACATTTTTTAAATATTTCAAAAATATTACATTTGTATAATAAAAATTAAAAATCATTATAAATCAATTTCTTTTTTGGTAATTGTACATTCAAAAGTACATTTTACTATCATAATCTAAACAACTTTCATTGTTTAAAAAAATATATCCAAATACAAATTTCATTATAACAACTGACTTTCATTAAACTAACTTTTACCAAATCAACTTTTACTAAATGGACTTTTGACAAATTGAAAATCAAACACACAAGTGTTTCTAATATGGTTGGAGACAAATCTAGAGTCATGTTAGATTTTAACTAATCTAACTTAAAACCCTGTGTTTAAGCAATCATAATCCATTCCACTAAAATCAATGCTTGTTGATTGTGTTTCTATTTGTTTTTTTAATACATGATCATGGAAAAATCGTGTAAAGAGACAATGGTCAGGTCAGGTCATGTCTAGAACCAAAAGGTTTCTATAGTTAGGTGGCGATAGTAAAAAATCCTAATGTCAAAATTATCACAAGATGTCTTATGGACAAACAAATCGACACATCTATTTGCTTCTTTATAAACTTAGTCGAAGGTAATCACCAAGTCCCTCATGGTAATATCTTTAATTTTCTTGATAAATTATGAGCATGGGTATCTTTTGGAGTATTTAAGTTCGATTAGTGACTAAGTATCCATAGAATCAAAGTAGACATTGATTTTAAATAGCTTAGCATTCTAGCAAAAATTAAGACCTTCCAAAATCTTGGTGAGCTCATCTACTATGCCAAAGTAATATCCAAGATATTTAAAAAAATCTTTTAATCCAGTTACCTTTGTTGTTCGTGATAATGTCTCACAAGCTGCATCAGTATTTCTATTATTTTGAATAGAAATAATAATATCATTATCAAGAATTGAATTGAAGGTACATTTGAACAATTAATGAAGCAAAACTTAATTATAATGATATAGTTTTACTTTTGGATTGATTCATGCTAAGCATCTTGTTAGATTTTTAAAATACTCCCTCTAGTCCTATTTATAGGGTAGAGAGAGAATAATTTTTTTTATCCTATTTATAAGTTACGTCGTTAAATTTTTATCATAAATTTTTTTTTACCCTTCATTGAATGTTAAAAAGAAAAAATATATTATTAAAGTGCGTATATTTAATATGGGCAAAATTAAAAACTTACTAAATTTTAAGACAAAATTAATGAGTTTTAAGGTTTTTCTTGATACCGGTAAAACATATTGGAAGTAACTTATAAATAGGAACAGAGGAATAGTTTTTTAATATGAAACCCTCCATAAATTGCCTTAAGAAAAAGTTCTAAACAATAATTAAGAGGAAAATGGTGGTTAGAATAGACTTGATTTTCTTAAACTATGTTAAGGGGGAAAAAATTCTATACACAAAATAAAATCATATTAAAAAAGTTACCCTTATAATTTAGTCCTGAAAACGCTCAAATCGAACTCTAAAGTACCATATATAATAGGAGAAATTCCTGGATAGATGTAATAAAAATAATTAATAATAGCTTACCAAAAATTAATAATAACAAATACTCGTGTCCTTGTTTTGTGAATGATTCACATCATTATGTGACTCTCCCCCAACCCCCAACAAAAAAAAATTAACATGAAACCTCTTATATCACATATTATATATAATACTTAATAAAACTTATAAGATAAAAATTTTTAATATTTATAAAACCTCTCAACACTTAATAGTAGAAAAATATAGGAAGACTGGCACATCACTGGGATGCCATGTTCAATTTTAATTATTATTAATTACAATGAAAGTGAATAATGCTTGTTTAATTAAATATAATTTAAGGTAGAGAGGCATCTTTCAATAAAAACAAAGATAGGTAGAGAGGTACATTAAGGTGTCAATAATAAGAGCATTGTGGTCCTCTCATGGAAACAAATTGAAAGAATATGCTAAAAATGTGTTTACGTCTCCCTTTCTCAGGCAATTTGCCAATGCCCATGTTTATGTTATTGGGGTTGATTGATGTAATTTATGTCAACTAACAACGACCTTAATATCAGTTTTTAAGGTATTATAGTACTTTATGACTTAAAATTGTAAAGTTTGAAGAAAAAATAATTATTTAGTCCATGCATGTTTAATTTGATTACAACTAAATCCTTAAAATTTAATTGATGTTACTTAATCTTTCAAGTTTTAACTATTTAATATGTTGATCACTATATTTTATGACTCAATTATAATATAATTTTTGAAGATGACACGATTTTTTTGCCAAAAAAAATCAAACGACATAAATTCAAGAATTGAAAAGGTTAAATTCAAGAATTGAATTGTAACTTGATGAAAGCTGTATGAATCACAAGTATGCCTCAAATAGCCTCGCTTTCAATAAGAGAATATTCATGGGTAATAAAAAAATATGTCAATTAAAGTTTATATTTTCCCTTCAATTAGAATCATATTCAATTAATAAGTTTTTTTTAAATTTATTCTCCCAAAAATTTCAACTTACATTCATTGTTTTGAGCTTAGCTTTTGATATTATTAAAATTAAAATATAAACATGAAAATCAATTCTCACCCAAAATCATGATTTTTAAAATTTTTATTTATAACACTCTAATTTTTTAAAACTTTCATTTGGCTTTTCAAAAAAAGCTGAATTTTGTTCTATTTAAAAATTAAACTTTAAATTTATTAAATTAATTTTTAAAAATTTATTTAAACATCATCGCATTTTAATAATTAATTTTTTTAATTAATTTTTTCAATTAAACTTCAAATGGGTCCTCAAAATATGTGTATTTCACATTTCCCCAAAAACTTTGTTCCTTGGCTTTTGTTAATTAGCTTTATTTTATTTCAATTTTATATTATTTCTGCCAACAAGATGGCCCACCAGGTCAACTAATCAAGTGTTGCGTGTTTACCCTGTAATCTCGTGCCATGTGGCAGAAGCTGATGAGATTTCATGTGATCAAGAAGAAACGTATGAATGTCTGAATTCAATTAATTTCATTTTAATAATTTCAAGATCACTGGACGAGATTAATTAGATCCATTTCAGAGAATGACAAACATGAACCTGTCAGTAAAATTAATTTTATAAAAAATTAATTATTTAATTTCAATAATTATACTTTAATTATAATAATCTCTAAATTTGTTGACTAGTTATAATTCAATCATTATAATTATGACTTAGTTGCAATTGAATCTTTAACTTTTGAGTTGGTATAATTCAATCTTTATAATTTTAACTATTTAAAATATTATTTTTTAAAAAAAAAATAAAAATAAAAATACTAAAATTAATTTAAAATTTAGGAACTGATATTTTAAATTACAAAAACTATATAAGTTGTATTGTAATCAATTAAAATTTAAAAAAAATTATTATAACAAGTTAAATTTTAAAGATTAACTTACAATTAAATTAAAATTATAATGACTAAATAAACATTTTTTTCTTAATTTTATTTTAACTTTTAAAATTTAAAATAACATCTATATACCTAAAAAGGGCACATATCGGTCAGATTAATGCGATTCATGTGAGTTAACAACAACAAAAAGTGATGTTCCACCATATCCTATTAATTAAACACTGATATCACATGCATGCATTCTCCCATAACATTGCCTTCATTGCCATATAATATATATAGATATTGATTTTGACTCCAGAAATTTGTGACAGGTGGCAAAATGAGACTTATGTGGGATAATCAAATATGTCCATGTTTCCAAGACAGATGGACTATATATATATATATATATATATATATATTATATAATATATATAGAGTAACATAGTTGATTGTTGTGATACGTATCATATTATCTATTTATCACCTGGTGGAAGCGTTTATTGAGATTCTCATCAATCAAGCATCTTGAGATCCATATATTGGTTATGCCCCGCCAATGCTCTGGGTCGGTGCAGTATATACACTAAAATTTGTCTCATTTTCCCCCTTTTTAAGTATTTAATTTAAAAGAGAGATATGAACCATTCACGTACAACTTGATTGGCAATTAAGTGCTATTAAGACAATCTATTTTTTTTTTAAATATAGTTATCTAATTAGGTTATATTCGACTATTATTTGTCCAATTAGATAAAGTTTATCTAATAGTATTTCCTATATTCACACATATTTGAATACGAGATCTCGTGTTTAAACAACTATAGCTCATTCCATTAGCAACACACGTACTGAGGAGACAATTCCTTATTAATCTAAATCAAACTCTACCAGCAACTATTATAAAAACTACTTAATAATAATATTGAAATTTCAATACATCTTTTTTTTTTAAAAAAAGTAATAAATAAAATAGAGATATAATTAAAAAAAAATTATAAAAATTATTTAATATATATATTTTGAACTAACACATATAACTCCTCAAACATCACTTACTCCCTCTAATCCTATTTATAAATTACTTTTCACATGTTTTATTAAAATTAAGAAAAATTTTAAACTTTATTAACTCTATCTTAAAATTAAACAAGTTTTTACTTATACCCTAATAATTTGTAATAATTTTTTAACATTTAATAATAATAAAAAAAAGTGGAGATAAACATAGAAAAATGTGAGTGTTTTATAAATAGAATTAAATTAATATTTTTTTATCTTGTTAATAAGACAAGACGAATATATTATGATTCGAATGGAGTAACCAAGAATTGTTGGTGGCAGCTTAAAAGGACATGACAATGATGAACAATATTACAATATTGTATCAGTACCAATAATAATACAAAGATTTAGCCGAAGAACAAGTTTCCATATTTTGTTGGCAGCCGTTACACCTACAATATTTCTTCTAAACCATTACATTACCCTTTTTCATGAAGCCATCTTCATCTCTCTTTATATTCCTCTTCTCTTTGAATCTTCCGAAATCTCTCTCTCTCTCTCTTCCTTGTTTCCTTCTCTAACTTGCCTATGTTCAAACCTCAAACAATCCAATGAACTCCCACATTTCAAAATCCAAACTTTCTCCTTCATTCTTACTCTCTGAAGCATCAAGCTCTACCAGCAGCGAAACTGAAGAAGAAACCAGTCCCTTTTCGTCCAACCAATTTTCCAAATCCTCGTCACATCGTCCATTGGCCATTCTTTCAGGCCACGTTGCCTCTGTTTCTTGCTTGTCTCTGACTGGACAGTTCATACTAAGTGCCTCTCAGAGCAACGACATCATTGTATGGCAACAGCACCAACAAGATTTCAGACTTCTCACAAAGTTCGGACATGGAGATGGGTCGGTGAAATCCCTAGTCACGGTCGGAAACAAGATCTTCTCAGCTCATCAAGATGGGAAAATCAGAGTTTGGAAGGTTTCTAGGAGGAGCTCAGAGAATGTGTTCAAGTTAGTTGAAACTCTGCCGACAACGAAGGATTATTTGGGGAAATTCATGAAACAGAGTAACTATGTCCAAACAAGAAGACACCACAAGCATCTGTGGATTGAGCATTCAGATAGCATCTCATGCTTGACGGTCTGTAATGGTTTGATCTATTCTGGGTCATGGGACAAGACCCTGAAGGTGTGGAAGCTATCAAGCTTCAAGTGCTTAGAATCCATTAAAGCTCATGATGATGCCATTAATGGGTTAGTAGCTTGTAAAGGGGTTGTTTATTCTGCTTCTGCAGACGGAAAAATCAAAGCTTGGGGAAGAAAAGTGGTGAAGAAGAACAAGAAGAAGATCTCACATTGTTTAAAAGGGGTTTTGAAGTGTCATAAAGATTCATCCTTTAATTGTGTGGCTGTTTCTGAAGATGGGAAATGGATATATGGAGGCGATTCTACTGGTTTTATAATGGAATGGGGAGAATTGAAGAATTGATCACTCAAACCAACTCACTTGGTACAACTGAGTATTTGACAAATCAATGTCTTCACCAATTCAATGAATCATGGAAGCTTGTATATGTGACAAGAGCGCATGAAATGGCAGTTTTGTGCATGTGTTTAAAACGGGAAACTTTGTTTAGTGGATCATCAGATAAGAGTATAGGAATTTGGAAGAGGGAGGGATCTAGTGGGAGGATTTGTAAAATTGGGGTAATAAGTGGACATGAAGGGCCAGTGAAGTGTTTGCAGGCATGTTCGAGTAGTACAAGTGATGGTGGCTTTTTGCTTTATAGTGGAAGCATGGACAAGAGCTTGAGAGTTTGGTGGGTTCATATGAACAAAGAGGAAGAAACAGAGGAAAGCTTTAGTGCTGTTGAATCAAGACCAGTGAATGAATCTTTAATTTTCTGTTAAGAAGCTGATAGTAATAAGATCTGATCATTTCCTTATTTCTTACTTTTTTAAAAAAAAAAATTTGTAGTTATATAATTTTATGTGTAGGGAAAAATAATATGAATCAGTGCAAAACTTCTGCTACCTTACAAGGGATCCAGTTTCTATGCTCATCTCAAGGATGAGCACCATGAGCTCATTCTTGGGATGAGATTTGGACTATCCAAATTAAAATATTTAATGTATTATTATAAATATATTTATTAAAATAAAAAATATTAAAAATTATAAAATAAATTTTAATAATTTTTTAATTTTTAATCTAGTCTAAATTTAATTTAGCGGGTTCAATTTAATATTAAAATTTTTATAATTAATGTATATTGATTATTCAAATGTACCCTACATAGTTCTAAACTGTGCAGAATAAATCTGAATAATCAATATATGTCAATAATAAAAATTTTAATATTAAATTAGACCTTCTAAATTAAATTTAGAATAGATTAAAAATAATTTTTTTAAAATTATTTTATAATTTTTATTTTAATAAATATAATATAATAATAATATAACAATAATACTTTAAATCTGGACCATCCAAATTAAAAATCTGAATGGTTCAGATCTCATTTCAAGAATGAGCATGTGGTGCTCATCCTTGAGATGAGTAGAGAAACCAATTCCCCCTTAGTAGTGTATTGTAGTATGGTAGAGGTTTTTAATTCAATTAAAATAGTGTTTCTTTGTATACTCATGAATAAGCCACCATTAATTTGCATTCATAAATTGAAACCTCTAAATGCTTATCATCATTGCATCTATTAAAGAACAAATTTACTAAAATTATAAAGGTAAAATAATATTAAATGTGTGTTTTGTTTCAAACATTAAAATTGCATTTAAGTTAACAAACTAACTTTTAAAAAGTAAAAGCAACTCTTATTATGTTTGTCAAAATGACTTCTTCATAGCTTTTAAATTTTGTAAAATATCTTTTTAAAAGAATGTTTTAGAGGTATATCCAAACACCTCCTAAAAATGTTCCAAATCAAATTTACATGGTCTAAATGGTGATGTTAATCATGATGAGCACCAAACCGATTCCTCAAGGTTGGGTTGCTTCCTAAAATTTTGATTTGTTTTGGCAAATGCTACATTTATATGTACAAATTGCATATGATGCTTGTAGGGGTGAGCAAAATTAAATTGAAACCAAAAACCAAATTGAATCAAATTGTTTTCGTTTTAATGAGTTTTATGTTATATAGTTTGATTTGGTATTTTTAATAAAAATTTTGATTACTTAGTTTGGTTCGGTCTAGTTTGAAAATTGTTGAATTAAATAGATTAAACCGATCGAATTATATATAATTTATATATTATATACATAATTTTTTTCTTTTTATGTTATTGAAAAAAGTGAATAAGCTCTCATTTGGACAAGTGAGAAACATCTTTCCATTTTCTTTATGTTTACTTTTTTCTTTCCTATTTCCTATTTTCTACTCTTCCACTTGCAGGGATAGTATTTTTTTTTCAATATATTGTTTTGTTTTTTTATTTTTTATAATTTAATTTTTAATACAATAGTATTGGATTTTATTAGTTTTCTCATGAATTATGGAATAAAATTGCTACTTTTTTGTTGGTACTTTTCCTAACAGGATTTCAGACCTTGATTCATCCTATTGTAAGGAAGTAACTTTTTTCACTAGACCCAACTATCATTGATAAAATATATATAAAATTTTATTTCATTTTTCTTTTATTTTTTTAAAACTCAGATATTATTAATATATTAATATGTTATCTGTTGAAGTTACTTTGATAGTTTACTTAGTTGAAAAAGCTATTAAAGTGACTTTAGAGAAATAAGGATGAGATAATAATAAGAAAAAAACTATACAAAAAAAGTAAATTTTTGCTAAGTTTTCTCCTTTAGAGTCCTAGCATTATTGTCTCACTTTCTTTTCACTTTTTCTGCCATCCAAACTAAGTCTTATATCATGTTCATTGCTGTAAAGAACCATGAGATAGTAGATTACTCTCTGATATGCTTCTAATTGTTCCATTCTTATTGAAAATCAATTAAAATTCAATGTTATTAAAATTTTCCTTTGTATATCCCAAACTTCATTAATGATGACTACCGTATATTTAATAATATTTTTGTCAATATATATTTAAAATTTAATTGTACAAAAATAAGTTAAGCTGAGTTAGACTTTTAGTCAAATCAAGTAAGTTTGAGCTTATGTGGTAGATCAAAAGTACAAACTTAATTTATAATTTGTGTAATTTTTTTTAACGACTTAGACTTAAACCTGCCTAAATATTCCTAGTCTGGTTGAAAAAACTATTTAAAAGTAAGTTTTTTAAGTAGGCTTACTTAATAATTTTAAACATTTTAAATATGCTTTATGACTATTAAAATCTATATTTATATAGCGTTATTTATCAATTTCAATATATAATAACTAAGATGACCTATCAAATACAATATAACAATAAAGTAACAATATTAATAAAATCAATATATAAGTCCAATATAATTGAAAATATAACTAGAAATAAAAAAAATATTAGTTAAAAATCAAATGATAAAGCTAATGCATATGTAACATATTACGTAATATATATATATATATCTTAAATAGACCGGCCTATTAGATTTGTAAGCAAGGCCTTGTAAAAATAGGCATAATCTGTTTAACTATTAAGCCTAATCAAATGCCTAAATTTGACCTGAAGTTATTTAATAAATAAACTAGGTTTTGGCTAATGTAGGCCGGGCCTTAGACCCTTAATAGGAGCCTAACCCATTTCCATCCATACATGCAACATAATAAATTCTAGTTATATATATATATATATATCATGGTATCTTTTTCTTAAATTTTATGAAGAAAGGTTATATAAATTTATAAATGATTGTAAAAATTCAACAATTACAATAATATATTTTTATGGTATTTTATATAATATTAATTTATTATTATTTTTAAACATATAATTTTTTAAATTTTATATGTAATAAATACTGATTCAGTTTTATAAAATTTAAAAAATTAAAAATATGAACTTTACACCTTATCGATCTTCCCAATGAAAATTGACATGAAGGGTATTTTAAGAATAAAGCGATTAACTGTATAAAAAAGTATAGAGTGATTAATATTATAAAAATTCATACAAAATAACTTATATTTGGTAATTAGTATCACAAAATTTTTTTAGAGGATAATAATATTTTAAAGGAGCAAAGCAAATGAAGTATTATGACTTTACATGCGTTTTTAGAAAATGACATATGCCTGATGTCTGGATAATGAGTTGGATTTAATTCCAAAAAATGCGTTGATTCAACTAAGCCCTAGTCCAAAAAGCGTTTAAATCCAAAAAATGAGCCCTATCTCAAGCCCAGAACTCAATTTTACCCATATTCTGAGCCCACAATGCTTTTCCCATATTATATTATAAACCAAAACTTCTTTTGCTGGATGTGGCGTTTTGATCTATCACATATTTTATATATTAAAACATTTAATTTTTAATATCAAATTATATATATTAGAGTTTTATTTTTGATTTTGTGTTGTCTTTTACATAATGACTATATGAACCCTAATGTGGCTATTTGATGATTGTTTTAACATTTTCAAAATTAAATTAATATATTGGGCTTTAATTCTCTTTTCTTTTCTTTTCTTTTTTTAATTCTCTTTCTAAATTTATTTAGTCTCATGTCTTTTAATTTCAAATTTTTTGTAAGAGCAAATTTGGAATCAACAAGCAAGGTTAAGTCAATAATTTTTGGAAGAAGTTAAGACCAAGAATGGGGGATGATTGGTGTCACACATTTCAGAATTATAGAGGCTGAGTTGGCATGGATTTTCAGAAATTAATTAGAGATTAATTAAATAAAAGCCAAGTAGTATGGAAAGCATGGAGACACATAATCAAGGCTGAAAAGAAACGTTGGAGGCGTAACTTAATCTGAATCTAAGAGGGAGACGATGTGGCATCTGATTAAAGGCCTTATTAAGTCACATTTCCCTTGCTAGAGTCACATGGTTCATGCTGCTATTCCACAGCTCATGAGGCACCATTTCTAATTCATTTTCAGCCAAATTAATTGGATTTTCCAGCTGCAAGTTCACTCATTCAGATTTGGAGCTTTGGAATTATCACCCTCTAGCTTTGTTTTTATCACCCTCATTCACATTTCTTACACATACATAAGCCTAAATTTCACTTTGAGCCTCATTCTTCAGATCTGATCCTCTCTCTTCAGCTTCCATTTTTCTCTCAATTCTCTCATCTTCTCCATTCCTTCTTCACGCCATCTTCACCTTCTTCACAAATCCCAGATCATTTTCTTCATCTTCTTCCATTATCATTCACGTCCAGCTTTATATCCTTCCTCAAATCCAGATTTTCGTTCATCTCTTCTTCATTCCAGCATCATCTCATCCATTCCAGCAACACTTCCAGATTCAGATTCATCTTCATACATTCATGGATGCTTCTCAAGTTCAAGATCTCAACCAAGTGATGGAGAGGACCTTGATTGGCTCATTTAACATCGAGTTTCAAGGAAAATAACTTAACATTTTGAGTTTTTCAGATTTGTGTTCTTTATTTGCTTTTTCAATTTTCTGATCTCTTCTTGTTTTCTTAAGAATTTTGAATCTATAATTGGTTTAGATTATTGATTCTTGATTTTAATTCATGTTTAGTTAAAATTATGAATGTTGAATTGAAGTTTTAATGTGGTGTTTCAGTTTTGAAATTCATGAATTAGCTTGAATGTTTTTAGGTTTGTTCATGTGTTCTTGCTGAATCTTGTTCAAAGTCCATTCTATACTTGAGTTAGATCCATATGAGTTATATGTTTTTAGCTTAAGTTGTTTTTCTGCCACTTGTTTGGTTCTTGAACTCGTGTGCTGGAACAAGGCTGAACATTATATTTGCTTTGATTCACTTAGCCTAAATCTTTAAGTATTCATTAGGTTTAATTATGCACTACACTTGAAAACTTTTGAGTGTTCTATCTTAGGTTAATTTAGATTGTTATATTAATTCAAATTTGGAATTCAATGCCAATTGCTAAGGATTCTTACTTAGACTCT